GAATGTACAGGATGTTGGTGGTCTCTGAGAGAAGGTACAGGGTGTTGGTGGTCTCTGAGAGAATGTACAGGATGTTGGTGGTCTCTGAGAGAAGTTACAGTGTGTTGGTGGTCTCTGAGAGAAGGTACAGGATGTTGGTGGTCTCTGAGAGAAGGTACAGGATGTTGGTGGTCTCTGAGAGAAGGTACAGGATGTTGGTGGTCTCTGAGAGAATATACAGGATGTTGGTGGTCTCTGATAGAAGGTACAGGGTGTTGGTGGTCTCTGAGAGAAAGTACAGGGTGTTGGTGGTCTCTGAGAGAATGTACAGGATGTTGGTGGTCTCTGAGAGAAGGTATAGGATGTTGGTGGTCTCTGAGAGAAGTTACAGGATGTTGGTGGTCTCTGAGAGAAGGTACAGGATGTTGGTGGACTCTGAGAGAGGATACAGTGTGTTGGTGGTCTCTGAGAGAATGTACAGGATGTTGATGGTCTCTGAGAGAATGTACAGGATGTTGGTGGTCTCTGAGAGAATGTACAGGATGTTGGTGGTCTCTGAGAGAAGTTACAGGATGTTGGTGGTCTCTGAGAGAAGGTACAGGATGTTGGTGGTCTCTGAGAGAAAGTACAGGATGTTGGTGGTCTCTGAGAGAATGTACAGGATGTTGGTGGTCTCTGAGAGAAGGTACAGGATGTTGGTGGTCTCTGAGAGAATGTACAGGATGTTGGTGGTCTCTAAGAGAGGTTACAGGTTGTTGGTGGTCTCTGAGAGAATGTACAGGATGTTGGTGGTCTCTGAGAGAAGGTACAGGATGTTGGTGGTCTCTGAGAGAAGGTACAGGATGTTGGTGGTCTCTGAGAGAAGGTACAGGATGTTGGTGGTCTCTGAGAGAAGGTACAGGGTGTTGGTGGTCTCTGAGAGAATGTACAGGATGTTGGTGGTCTCTGAGAGAAGTTACAGGATGTTGGTGGTCTCTGAGAGAAGGTACAGGATGTTGGTGGTCTCTGAGAGAAAGTACAGGGTGTTGGTTCTCCAATATTCTACACACGACCGGTGTAGCCATTAAGTTTGCACTGGATTTATAGATGATGGTGTAGGCTGAAGAAATTCAAAACAATTTGTTAAAAAATTCGTCTGCTTGCATCATAACACATATAGCTCTGTGGCGATATTTCCAAGGTCATTAAAAATATCGTTTAATCAAAAAGAGGGAAAATATTCAACAAAAATATTGCTTGGTCAGCAATCTAAGAAAATTAGAAAAAAAAGGGAAAAAAAGCAGGATATTTCCCCCGGAGTCCACGTTTTGTTACATGTCTGTGTTCACTGGTAACAATAATATTACAAACGCAATTCACTTTCATCTGTGTTGAATATTCACCGGCAATATTTTTTTCTGTCTTGACAAGTCCACACCCCTGTGTCCATGATTTATATCTGTATTTTCTGACAATATCACGACCTTATGTCCATGATTATTCTGTCTGAGCAATAATTCGCCCCTGTGTCCATGATTGTTCTGTCAGGACAATTTACCATCTATGTGCTCTTAACTTTCCTATCTTGACAATACCACACCCCTGTGTACCATATCCCTTGGTCCTTCCATGACTTTACCACACTACTGAAATAAGAGTTATTTCCCTTTGAAACTCAGGGCATATGTATTTCACAGAGTTGCTTCCCTTGTAATTCATAACGGGAAGCATCATAGTTTAGGTTAAACAGTATTTCACTTAGTTGTTTCACAAATTACAAATACTTATAATGGGATAAGAAAACTAGTCTAAACCTAATAATGATTAATATTTAAATCACATAACTACCCTATTGTCAGTGAAATAAGTCTCATTATGTAAATAGGTGTTGATACACTGGTTCAATACGAGCTAGCGGAGTTGCGATTGGCTGAAGGTTCCATTGATTATGTGATGATCCTATCTTATTGACATCATTGTAATGTCACAATATATAATATATATATATATATATATATATATATATAAATATATATATATATTTGTGTCTATATATATATATATCGACAACTTAGAATTTAAAGCATTTGGATAAAATATTTACAAAAGAATCTTAGTTTCACAAATTTTACATTTCTTTATATTTCATGTTAGACTGGAACCTGATCAATAATCTATCATATATCTTTAAGAGAGGTTAGACAAATAACAAATTCTAACAGAAGATGCTACAATATTTACTTTATATAGGAACTAAAGTACAAACATTTCTACTGGTACAAGGGGTACAACTCTTGGTAAAAACTAATGATAAGATGAGTTATATAGGATGACGTATGTAAAGGTGAGGTATGTAGAAATGAGGTATATAGAGGTGAGGTAGAGGTGAGGTATATAGAAATGAGGTATATAGAGTGAAGATATATGGAGATGAGGTATATAGAGGGGAGGTATATAGAGATGAGGTATGTAGAAGTGAGGTATATAGAGATGAGGTATATAGAGGTGAGGTATGTAGAGATGAGGTATATAGAGGTGAGGTATATAGAGATAGGTAGAGGTAGGTATATAGAGATATAGGTATATATAGAGGTGAGGTATATAGAAGTGAGGTATATAGAGATGAGGTATATAGAGTTGAGGTATATAAAGGTGAGGTATATAGAGGTGAGGTATATAGAGGTGAGGTATATAGAGGTGATATAGAGATATAGGTATATATGTAGAGGTGAAGTATATATAGAGATGAGGTATATAGAGGTGTGGTATATAAAGATAAGGTAAATAGAGATGAGGTTTATAGAGAGGAGGTATATACAGATAAGGTATATAGAGATGAGGTATATAGAGGTATATAGAGATAAGGTATATAGAGGTGACGTATATAGAGATAAGGTATATAGAGGTGACGTATATAGAGATAAGGTATATAGAGGTGAGGTATATAGAGATAAGGTATATAGAGGTGAGGTATATAGAGATATATAGGTATATATAGAGGTGAGGTATATAGAGGTCATATATAGAGTATATAGAGATGAGGTATATAGAGGAGAGGTATATAGAGATGAGGTATATAGAGGTGAGGAATATAGAGATAAGGTATGTAAAGGTGAGGTATATAGAGATGAGGTATATAGAGGTGAGGTATATAGAGGTGAGGTATATAGAGATGAGGTATATAGAGGTGAGGTATATAGAGATGAGGTAAACAGAGGTGAGGTATATAGAGATGAGGTATATAGAGGTGACGTATATAGAGGTGAGGTATATAGAGGTGAGGTAGAGGTAATGTATATATAAGTGAGGTATATAGAGATGAGGTATATAGAGATCAGGTATATAGAGGGGAGGTATATCGAGTTGTGGTATATAGAGATGAGGTATATAGAGGTATGGTATATAGATATGTGGTATGCAGAGATGAGGTATATAGAGGTGTGGTGTATACAGTGAGGTAAATAGAGGTATAGAGATGAGGTATGTAGAGGTATATATAGAGGTAGATATAAAGGTGAGGTATATACTGGTGAGGTATATAGAGATGAGGTATATAGAAGTGAGGTATATAAAGGTGAGGTATATAGAGATGAGGTATATAGAGTTGAGGTATATAGAGATCAGGTATGCAGAGGTTGCTATATAGAGGTGATGTGTGGTAGATAGAGATGCGGTATATAGAGGTGAGGTAGATAGAGGTGTGGTATATAGAGATCAGGTATATAGAGGGGAGGGATGCAGAGGAGAGCTATGTAGAGGTGAGATATATAGAGATGAGGTATGCAGAGGTTGCTATATAGAGGTGATGTGTGGTAGATAGAGATGCGGTATATAGAGGTGAGGTGAGGTATGCAGAGGTTGCTATGTAGAGATGATGTGTGGTAGATAGAGATGAGGTATATAGAGGTGAGGTATATAGAGGTGTGGTTTATAGAGATGAGGTATATAATGGTGAGGTATATAGAGGTGAGGTATATAGAGGGGAGGTATATAGAGGTGAGATATATAAAGTCGAGGTATATAGAAGTGAGGTATATAGAGGTGAGGTATATAGAGGTCAGGTATATAGAGGGGAGATATATAAAGGTGAGGTATACAGAGTTGACATAAATAAAGATGAGGTATATAGAGGTAAGGTATATAGAAGTGAGGTAAATAGAGGTGAGCTATGTAGAGGTGAGGTAAATAGAGGTGGGGTATATAGAGGTGAGGTATATAAAGGTGAGGTATATACTGGTTAGGTATATAGAAATGAGGTATAGAGAGGTGAGGTATATAGAGGTGAGGTATATAAAGGTGAGGTATATAGAGGTCAGGTATATAGAGGTGAGGTTTGAAGAGGTTGCTATATAGAGGTGATGTTTGGTAGATAGAGGTGAGGTATATAAAGGTGAGGTGAGGTATGCAGAGGTCGCTATATAGAGGTGATGTGTGATAGATAGAGAAGAGGTATATAGAGATGAGGTATATAGAGATGAGGTATACAGAGGTGAAGTATGTAAAGGTGAAGTATATAGAGATGAGGTATATAGAGATGAGGTATATAGAGATGAGGTATATAGAGATGAGGTATATAGAGGTGTGGTTGATAGAGGTGAGGTATGTAGAAGTTATATATAGAGGTGAGTATTAGAGGTAGGTATATAGAATGTGAGGTATGTGGAGGTATATAGAGACCTATAGAGTGTATAGAAATGAGGTATATAGAACCTGATATAGAGAGTGAGATATATATAGAGTATATAAAGGTGAGGAGGTTGCTATATAGTTAATCGCAGCGTATCAGCAGTTGAAGGACTTCCTCGGATAAAGTTTCAACCTATAAAAATATATTTTGATATCGTATCCTTTCAAAGTACGATAAGCGTCATCGCCATCTGGTTTTCTCAGATACATGCACCATAACCTCGCCGTAATAAGTAAACAATTAATGTATGCGCGCGCGTGAGTTTTGATGCTACATACATACACTATCTGCGCATGCGTCTTTGATGCTGTGTGTAGGATGCAAACGCCAAGTGTGCTTGAAGCCTGCGATATGAGGGAGATATTTACGATAAGACCGGCTGTTGGTCGACATTGCCGTGAAATGGACAAGCATGTTCGTTACTGTTAACGGAAGTTGAAAATTGCCCGATTTGGATTTATTTATAGAAACAAGTTGATCTAAACAATGGCTACACGTCTTGTGGTCATTCCTGGACCTGGTCTGACCGTAGTAAGTATTGTCTTTTTTAAAGTTTACCATACTTTAAACCATTCTTTACGTACTGCATGATCCCAGCACCGGTATAAGTATTGAAGTTCAAAGGGAGGATATAGTGAATGTTACAGCTGAAATGTTGTGGGGGTCGGTGTTTATAAGGAGCAGGTGTACCTAACCTGTGTTATTAAATATTTCTAAATATATATATACATAGGAACATGTGTAAAAGTCTGAATCTGAGAGTTTTGTGTTAGAGCTACAACACAGACGAAAACTTAATATCTTTTTAAAAACATATTCCATGCTGAAAATTGAGTCTAAACTATTATAACTGTCAACACATCAAGCCTTCAGATGAAACAAATAATAGACTTTTTAAATAACAAGAAACTGATAAGATTTTGATGTTGTCTTTTCAAGTAAAATATTTGTTTTGAAACTCTAAAGATGGAGTTACGCGAAACAGATCTAAATTCTGTGAACTTCGGCATGAAATATTAGAATCCGCAGAACTTTTAACAAATGAAAAATGGTTCAGAATTAAGAGCGAAATAATTTAAAACATCGCGAAATTCAAGGAGGACCTCATACAGACGTGATGAACATTTGAATTACGATATTTACAGGGGCGAAACAGATCTCAATCACGAGACTTGACGAAGTTAAACTGTCATAAAAGAGATCTTATACACAAAACTGAATCTTATAGATGCGAGCAGATCTGAATCACGAGACTTGACGACGTTAAACTGTTATAAAAGAGATCAAAAGCACGAGACATCCAGGCGTTAACAAGCCTGAATTTCGATACATACTGACGGAAAACAAATTTGATTCACGTGGCATACCAACGTGAAACAGATCTGAATCACGAGATGTGTTGACGTGAATCAGATCTGAATCACGAGAATTACAGACGTCAAACAGATCTGATTCACGATACAAATACAATAGAGAGACTTATAGACGTGAAACATATATGAATCACGTGACTCACATATGTGAAAAAGATCTGAATCAAGAAACTAACCGACCAGAAACAAGTCTGAATAAAGAGGCTAACCGACACGAGACAAGTCTGAATAAAGAGACTAACCGACACGAAACAAGTCTGAATAAAGAGGCTAACCGACACGAAACAAGTCTGAATAAAGAGACTAACCGACACGAGACAAGTCTGAATAAAGAGACTAACCGACACGAGACAAGTCTGAATAAAGAGGCTAACCGACACGAAACAAGTCTGAATAAAGAGGCTAACCGACACGAAACAAGTCTGAATAAAGAAACTAACCGACACGAGACAAGTCTGAATAAAGAGACTAACCGACACGAGACAAGTCTGAATAAAGAGACTAACCGACACGAAACAAGTCTGAATAAAGAGACTAACCGACACGAAACAAGTCTGAATAAAGAGGCTAACCGACACGAGACAAGTCTGAATAAAGAGACTAACCGACACGAGACAAGTCTGAATAAAGAGACTAACCGACACGAGACAAGTCTGAATAAAGAGACTAACCGACACGAGACAAGTCTGAATAAAGAGACTAACCGACACGAGACAAGTCTGAATAAAGAGACTAACCGACACGAGACAAGTCTGAATAAAGAGACTAACCGACACGAGACAAGTCTGAATAAAGAGACTAACCGACACGAGACAAATCTGAATAAAGAGACTAACCGACACGAGACAAGTCTGAATAAAGAGACTAACCGACACGAGACAAGTCTGAATAAAGAGACTAACCGACACGAGACAAGTCTGAATAAAGAGACTAACCGACACGAGACAAGTCTGAATAAAGAGACTAACCGACACGAGACAAGTCTGAATAAAGAGACTAACCGACACGAGACAAGTCTGAATAAAGAGACTAACCGACACGAGACAAGTCTGAATAAAGAGGCTAACCGACACGAGACAAGTCTGAATAAAGAGGCTAACCGACACGAGACAAGTCTGAATAAAGAGACTAACCGACACGAGACAAGTCTGAATAAAGAGACTAACCGACACGAAACAAGTCTGAATAAAGAGACTAACCGACACGAAACAAGTCTGAATAAAGAGACTAACCGACACGAGACAAGTCTGAATAAAGAGACTAACCGACACGAGACAAGTCTGAATAAAGAGGCTAACCGACACGAAACAAGTCTGAATAAAGAGACTAACCGACACGAAACAAGTCTGAATAAAGAGACTAACCGACACGAGACAAGTCTGAATAAAGAGACTAACCGACACGAGACAAGTCTGAATCAAGAGACTAACCGACACGAAACAAGTCTGAATAAAGAGACTAACCGACACGAGACAAGTCTGAATAAAGAGACTAACCGACACGAGACAAGTCTGAATAAAGAGGCTAACCGACACGAGACAAGTCTGAATAAAGAGGCTAACCGACACGAGACAAGTCTGAATAAAGAGACTAACCGACACGAGACAAGTCTGAATAAAGAGACTAACCGACACGAGACAAGTCTGAATAAAGAGACTAACCGACACGAGACAAGTCTGAATAAAGAGACTAACCGACACGAGACAAGTCTGAATAAAGAGACTAACCGACACGAGACAAGTCTGAATAAAGAGGCTAACCGACACGAAACAAGTCTGAATCAAGAGACTAACCGACACGAAACAAGTCTGAATAAAGAGACTAACCGACACGAAACAAGTCTGAATAAAGAGACTAACCGACACGAAATAAGCCAGAATTAAAGTACTCAGTTACGTTAAACACATCTGATGATTCACGTAGTCTTGATCACCTTCCTTTGTTACAACTTTTCTCCGCTAGACCGCGCTCGTTGAAACTAAGACCGGTCAGGACCGCTAACTTTTTTAACATTTTTTGACCAAATTAACGTCAATTAATCAATTCAGTCAACGAAACCTTGTTAACACGACGGTTGGTGACTGATAAAATCCATAACGTTTATAACCATATAAACTAATGTAGTCATTTCCAAATGACCAAACATCTATTTTTAAAAAATGATACAAATAGCAACACAGAAAGATAATAAAATATTTAATTATTTTATACAAATACGTTTTTCAAGACGCTTGAAATGGAGTAAGCCGTTTACAAAGGTGATATTTGGGGTACCGCAATGCACTATGGGAGAAACTGCTGAATCGCGAAACCCTGAGACCAACATGAAACAGATCTGAATCAGAAAATTTATCGAACTGAGACAGGTCTGTGTTCTGGCACTCAGTGATATGAACTAGATTTGAATCACAAAATATACCAATCTGTACAAATGCGACCTATCAATTTGAAACAGAACAGAATAAATACACTTGCTGACGTGACAAAGAACATGGTCCATGATCCTAGTGTGATCAGTGATGGATTAGTTTGATCAGGTTTTTGTCATTTCAGTTCTTGGTGTTGTTTCAAAATCATTCGTAAACATTTAAGAGTGTCTCTTCTTCCTTATGTAAGTCATTGAACTGAGGACTCCGTTTTACATATGTGATGACCACGTACTGTAAACGTCCAGTTTTAATATGTGTTCCATTTAATGTCCTTACCGGCTGTTCTGAATTTTCAGTATATCAATTTTGCTTGTTAGTGCTGATATACACACTTGGAAAATACTCCCGACCATGGTTTGACTTCACAGTTGTCAAGGCAACCGAACAGGTTTAGGTGATATATCATACCCAGGTTATCATATCTCTCACTTGATCTGTTCCAAGCTGTGGGCTATCTCAACATACCAGCAACACAGTCAGCGGTCAGTTGACATTACTATGTATTCGTGGAATTTTTCACCAAACTAACTCATTTCGAACTATTTAACCAAATGAACACTCCATGATCCAATGTTACCGTTTTGCACGAAAAGGAACAAGAACATTCGAGCAAACCCGCTTAGTGTAATATCTGGATTATCCAGGAGTCCAGATTATCCAGGGTTTCATATACTGTACATGTTGACGGCGGGACCTAATCACACGTCTGGTTTATACAGGAGTCCAGATTATACAGGGTTTCATATACTGTATATGGTTACGGCGTGACCTAATCACAGGTCTGGTTTATACACGTGTCCAGATTATACAGTGTTTCATATACTGTACATGTTGACGGCGGGACCTAATCACACGTCTGGTTTATACAGGTGTCCAGATTATTCAGGGCTATATAGAAATATGTATTTATTCAAGTGTGCTGGTTTGAGAGAAAACGATGTGAAAATTGATATGACAAAGTCGTTTAGGTTAACATTCGGACCCATTATTATGATGTACCCATTATCTTGATGTACCCATTATCTTGATGTACCCATTATCTTGATTTTTCTGGCGCCATAATGCACGTGAATGTTTTGTTACTATATTGTAGACAAAAATGACGACACTTACATCCCTAGATCTTATTTCAAAATACATGTACATTGTAACAGTGAAACAGTATTAGTTTTACCTTAAACTATAACAGAAATCAGGTGGGTATGTACAAAATGTTTTAGGATGACAACCATCAAACAGTAAAACACGATATCTCTTCATTTTTGTTGTTTTTAGAATTGAAATCTAAATTTGAATATTTTAATTACATATTCATCTATATTTTAATTGAGGCCCATCATTAGGCCTAGTAGACATTTTGTCTGGGAGCATGACCACGCACTGTCTTATACACCTCAGAAAAACGATAAAAATTGTCACAAACACTATTTTTTCACGATAATAGATTCCCAACCAGTACACCATCGAAGGGTGGGGTACTTCTTTACCGAATGTTAATCAAATTACAAAATACATGTAAAAGCCCTGTAAACAGATCAAGTCTATATTCACCTATAATGTACATGTAACTACATATAACTATCAGATCCCCGTGAATATTGCTTTATTCTGTATAAAAACTTATCTTTAGGGAAGATATTGAGTTGAAGATAAAAGATAGAGACATTGTCTTCTCCTTAGTCACAATGTAAAACTTGTTGGAATATTTTTTTGCTTCAGACTAGAAACT